CTGGCAAGTGGCCTTGGGTGGAATCCTTCGATCAGGTAGAATTTTGGAGCACTCGGCAGAAGCCCACAGTCCTGTTTCGTAGGAAGTGATTTGAGCCAGTGTATGTCAGAATCACGAACAGGGCTTGGTTTACTTTCCTAGTTCTACTGTGACAAATTTCCACAAACTTAGAGATTTCAAGCAACACAGATTTATTATTTATGGTTCTGCAGGTCTGAGGTCCAGAATGGTTTCCCTAGGCTAAAATCAGGGTATGAACAAGGCTAGTACTTATAAAAATTTTAGGGGAAAAAAAAAAACTATTGCTTTGCCTTTTCCAGATTCTAGAAGCCACCTGCATTCCTAGAATAAGTCTGTGCTGGGGCCTTCATTAAAGTGAAAGTGTTAGTTGCTCAGTTGTATCTGAGTCTTTGTGACCCCATGGACTGTAGTCTGCCAGGCTCCTCTGTCCATGGAATTTTCCAGGCAAGAGTACTGAAGCAGGTTACCATTTCCTTCTTTCAGGTGGTGGTTCAGTCGCTAAGCGTGTCTGACTCTTCATAATCCTCTCCAAATGGTTGAAAACATGACTCACACTTTTGTCTTCATGAAGCCAAACTGGTTTAGTTGATTTTGATCTCAGAGTTGAAGGGGATAGGGAAAGTAGGCATACATTTTTGTGATGAGGTAATATATTAATATATGATCATAATATTATAGTCAGTATTTGCTATATATTTTATTGGATGATTTCTGACTTTTAGAATCATGAAATTGTGAATTTGTAAAAAGTTTTATAGGTCACCCAGGTTTTCATCTGCAACTCAAGGAGTATCCTCTGCAACAGACCTTCTCAAACTTTAGGATCCACAGTAATCATGGCTAAAGATGCAGATTCTGATTCAGTAGGTCTGGAATGGGGCCTGAGACCCTGAATTTCTAATATACTCCCAGGAAGCTGCTGGTCCAGGGACCACACTTTGAGTAGCAAGGCTTCTGAGCATTCCTGACATTGCTGCCTTGGGGATGATTCTGTTACAGTCTCTTCTTCGAATTTTCTTAATTCCAACTGTCACACACAGAAATCAGTAGTTCTTGGATCAAAGCCAGACTCAAAATAGATGCAAAACTTTTCTGATGTTTTAAAAATATAAATCAAAATGACATCGCAGTTGAAGGGAATTTTAAAAAATAGGATGTGTATGTAGGATATGAAGAGTCTTATATTAAGCATCTCTCTATATAGAGAGAGATGTTTTATATGTGTGTGTGTGTGTGTATGTGTGCGTACTTTCCAGGTGGTGCTGGTGGTAGAGAACCTGCCTGCCCATGCAGGAGAGGTAAGAGATGCAGGTTCAATCCCTGGGTTGGGAAGATCCCCTGGAGGAGGGCACAGCAACCCACTCCAGTATTCTTGCCTGGAGAATCTCATGAACAGAGGAGCCTGGTGGGCTACAGTCTATGGGATCGCTGAGAGTTGGACATGACTGAGCAACCTGAGCACGCTTATATATACATATATGTGTGCATGCTAAGTCGCTTCTGTTGTGGGTTGTCATTTCCTACACACACACACATATATATACACGCACACACATATATAAAAATATATACACACACATACATGTGTACATCCATATGTATGTATGTTTATATCTATTCATCTATATATCCTGCATCCATACTAAATCATACAACTGTGAAATCCCAAGTTATATGATATTTTGTGGCACTGACAACTTTAACATTTTCCTTTATGTCAAAATTTTTATAACAAAATGAAAAATTGATGGGTATAATTTGAACTGTCCTGTAGATGTGAGTCTAAGTGCAGTGTTGCCAGCCATTCTACATTGAGGAAGCCCATAGCCACGTTCAGATGTTGGTTGAGTTGGACTGAGTTGAAGAGGCCCATGTAAACTAGCTCTACCTTTGAAGCTAGAGTTCTTGGTTTTATTATTTAAATTTGGCTACAATACATACTGATCACCTTAATTCTTATTTAATATTTGAAAGTTATTACTGTGGAAGAAGTTAGCTGAACGATGGTGATTATAGCATATCAAAATCCTTTGTAAGTGATTATTTTAATGACTCTGTACCAACAGGGAAACGTAGACATTCAGACAAAAAACAACCTAATTATGATGACAGCACCCAAGTGAAGCAGTGACAGTTACAAAACCAATTTAAAAGTTTTTTGACAGCCATGGCTAAAAGCTTTGTTTAGACCTTTCAGTAATAACAGTTTACTTAAGACATAAATCCACAGCTAAGGAAAATAGAAAGAGAAAGTTGTGGCTTTTCTGTCATGCAGATGAAGTGGAAAGCAGTTGAAATGTTTTTAATAGAACGTTACCTGAAAAAAGTCTAGAAAAGGAATAATAGTTATGGAATTTTAACTCTCTCAATACAAGAAAGACTAAATAAAAATTCTAATGAGGATAGAAACTTGCCAGCTGATATGCTTATCAACGTTATGAAGGTCAGTAGTTCCTGCAAGCAAGTTGACGTGCATTTAAATATGTTGACTGACAGCCCTGGAATTTGATTTTGCATTATCCATGAAATAAAGTCAAGGGCAAATAAATGGATGTAAGAATGCATCAGTAGCCATGGTGACACACAACCTCACTAAATACCTGCTTTTGCAGTGGCTGTGACATCTCTCACATTATTAGACTTTATCGCTTTTATTTATCTCACTTGGTTCTGGACTCAGTCAAACATACAGCGTAATTAATTCTTTGACCTTGGGCAATTTATTTCTCATTGCTGAACATAAAAATACCTCGGTCACATTTTTTTTAACTGCACATCTAAATAGAACATTTATAATATGCAAGCGCCGCTGTAAGAGCTGACAGGTATTTACATGTTTGTGATAACAGCTTTTGGAGGTATGTGTCCCTATTTTACTGATACGGAAACTGAGACACGGGGAGGTTGGGGAACCTTGCTCAGGGCCACAGAGCTCGTGCCTGGTAGGGTTTCAGGTCCACGCACTTTGGCTCAGAGCCCGTGCTGTGGCCGACCGCAGGGTCTTAAAACCCCAAGAAGGCACACATTTGGATGCAGAGAGTCGACGGCCAGCTCAGAGGTATCCTCGCCCTATTCCTCTTCTCAGGTTCTGCTTTCATTAGGTTCTTGCAGTTGCAAAGATTGAAGAACTCTCAGGTCAAGATCAAGTGGTGTCCACATGTGTCTGTAAGAACCAGTGAAGCCCCGAAACAGGGCTCATCATGGCTCTGTACCCCGGGCAGTTGGTGCCAAGGATTGTGACTCAGTGATTCGTTGTGTGGTCAGCTTCCCTCTCCTCCTTCTGCTGCCCAGGGTCTTCAGCTTCTACCCCCTCCTTTTACATATTTCCTGCCCCACAGCAGGGCAGGAGCTCCTAAAATGGACTTTAAACAGACGTGGGTACAGAGTCTGGTGCGGCTGTGTACTTGCTGTGTGACCTTGGACAAGTGACTTAACCTCTCTGAACTCTGTGGGAGAGGCGGGTAATACATCCCACTATGTAGGGTTATGGTGGAGACGAAAGAAGTAAAAGAAATAACATACTTACAGTATTCAATACATGATAGCTAATATAATAATAGCCATTGTTTTTCAAATACCTAATTATTTTACCTCAAGGTAGGCAGCAGGCTTGGACCAGATATGGATCCAAATTGTGGTTTCGTCTTCAGTATGTGTGTGACAGTGAGAAAGTTACTTAACTTCTCTGAGCCTCAGTTTCCTTCTGCTTCCTAGAACTGTTAGGACATTGAATGACTTCATTTATGTAAAGCACTTATGACAGCTTTGGGCACATAATAATTATAAATATAGACATGAGCTATTATTAGTGGTAGTATAATTTTCAATAACATTTATGCAGAGAGTACAAAGTTCTGGTTATATGAGGTAAGTAAATTATGACGTCTATGGCATAGTACCTGTAGCTATGTACTCTATTGTATATTTAAAATTTACTAGGAGGATAGATCTTATGTTGTGTTCTTACCACAAATAATAATAACAATATTAATAGAGGAGGCAAGAGGAAGCTTTGGGAGGTGATGGATATGTATATGGCTTTGATGATGGTCATACTTTCATGGGTGTATATTTATCCCCAAGCTCATCGAGTTATACATGTTCAATATGTACCACATTTTTTAATATCAACCATACTTTAATAAAGTGGTTTAGAGCATAGAAAATAAATTATTAAAAATAGCAATTTAAAGAAATAAATAATCCACAGACGCAATACATTAAAAAATAAATAGATCTTAGGTTTCTCCTGCTTTTCCAGTTCTATGGTTTATCTCTAAAATGCTTTCATCAACAGTAGCTTTTTCTCTTAGCAGAATAAAGTGATACTTGTTATATGGTATCAGCTTTCCAAAAAATAATTTATGATCAGTAAGGATAAAAGCTTCCTAACTAGCCAGTGAAAATTAAGATATAGGTTATACACAAATTCAGTGAAATGTATTTTCAGTTTTTAACCAGAAGTCTCTGAAACTATCTCCCCAGGTACTTTTTAGCTGCCTGCAGATAAAAGATTGCTTTGCTCACAGTATTTAGTGACAGCCATCAAGTTATCTTAGAAAAGTTGTTCTGGACATGTGTTTGCCAAGCAGAGGGAGGTTCTGGGGGAGACAGGGATTGGGGGTTTGGGTTAAGCACATGCAAATTATTATACATAGAGTGGATAAACAGCAAGGGCTTCCTATATATCACAGGGAACTAATATTCAATGTCCCATGATAAACCCGAATGGAAAAGAATCTGAAAAAGACTGTGTATATTGTGTGCATGGATAACTTAATCACTTTGCTGAACAGCTGAAATTTACACAACACTGTAGATCAACTTCGCTTCAATAAAGTAAATTTTTCTTAAAAAGAAAGACTGTTCACAGCAGCATATAACAAAGATGCTGCAGATCCAGCAAGGTCTGAGCACATAGGTGTGTTGAATCGTGGGTTTGTCTCTTCATTAAGAGTTCGTCTGTTTTGCCTCCTCAGCAAATGATGCGGTCGTCTGTCTTCCACATGTTCATCCTGAGCATGGTGACCGTGGACGTGATCGTGGCCGCCAGCAACTATCACAAAGGAGAAAGCTTCAAGAGGCAGTATGATGAGTTCTACCTTGCGGAGGTAAGCAGCTCACAGGCACAGGTCACTTTTCAAGGCAGCCGCGAACCTCGGCTCGTGACAGCAACTTTTAGAAACGTGTAAAAGTTCACTTCAGCTCAGTCATCATTTGACTTCGACCCAAGATTATTCAGGACTTCCTTGATGGCTCGGTGGGTTAAGAATCTGTCCGCAATGCAGGAGATGCGGGTTTGACCCCTGGGTCGGGAAGATCTGGAGGAGGGCATGGAAACCCACTCCAGTATTCTAGCCTGGAGAATCCCGTGGACAGAGGAGTCTGGCAAGCTACAGTCCGTGAGGTCGCAAAGACTCAGGCTCGCCTGAAGCGACTGAGCACGCGCGGAGCTGGTTCATTGTCTACTGGCCAGGTGTTTCCCCTGGTCCCGCGTTGCCTGATCTGTTTCTGGCGCCCTGAGTGACCTTCCCACGCTGGGTGTCCTATGCGTGTATCACGTTGCCAAGGCAACCCTTGGCCCGGGTGTTACCCTGGCCATCTAGGTGTTCCCCTACCCACCTCTCTGTTTTCTCTCCATCATTCTATTGTGTGTCTGTTTCCTCCAAAGTGTAGGCAAGCACAGATCCAGAATATTGTAGATGGACATCTCAGCTCAACAGTACCAAGGACGAGATTGGAGGAAAATAGAAAGATTTCTGTTCTAAAAATCCGAGGTGTTACAGCCAGCACTAAGGCCATAGTCAGAAATAGGTAGGTGTAGTGATGAAAATAGTGAATCTTCTTGCTTCCTACAGCCCATACTAGAGTTTTGTAGTAGTGGTTCTTACTGACGGGATGACCTTGTTAACATTTGTTGCTTAAATATTTCTTAATGATTTCCAGAGACCTCTGCCTTTTTTATTGTGAAGAATTATGTCTATGACAGATCTTAGAATTCAGGGGTTCTGTATTTATAGAAAAATTGATTGACAGACGACTCTTTAGAAATCCATTCATCATGTAAGTGAGAAATACATATCTAGCTGAGCTACACTTGGAGAAACCCAATATATGAAAAATAAAACTTAAAAAAGCAGAAATATCACAATGTGATTATTTTTATTACAAAAGCACTTTCCACATACAAAATCAGTTTGCCTCAGAGTTGGGTTCTCTTCTATACCGAGAACTCTCCCAGTGAATTTAAAAATGGATTTGGTTAACAAAAAGTCAATCCACCCACACATCAATTTTTCAGAAAAAGAATTGATGGTATACAGCTATTGAATACAAACTTCTACGGAAACTTTTAAGGAGTCACTTATGAATTCCTCCCTTGGTGGAGATGCATTTCCTGTAAGAAAATATTAATATTAAACTTTCTCTGAAATGGTCTCCGTGACGTGACATTGCCTAATAACTGTGTCATATATGGAACATTTTTGTTGTTGTTGTTCAGTTGCTAAGTCATGTCTGACTCTTTGCGATCTCATGGACTGCAGCCAGCCAGGCTCCTCTGTCCTTGGGATTTCCCAGGCAAGAATACTGTAGTGGGTTGCCATTTCCTTCTCTAGGGGATCTTCCTGGACCAAGGATTGAACCCAAACTCCTGCATTGGCAGGCGGCTTCTTTACCACTGAGCCATTTAAAATTGTGGTATATGGAGCTTACAGTTAAGCAAGAAATATAGACAGTAAGTAGTAACAAGTTTTCGTGCTATGGAGAATCAATCACATAGGCTCACAAAGAAACTATGTCCAATCAAACACCTGAAAAATGGATATAATTTTGCTGTGAATCCAGCACAGAAGGTATGGAGCGTTATTAGAAGCAGAGGGGGGATCATTGCTTTACAATGCTGTGTCAGTTTCTGCTCTGCAGAAGCGTGAACCAGCTATAAGGACACATGCATGCCCTCCCTCTTGAGTCTCCCTTCTGCTCCTCCATCCCGCCCTCTAGGTCATCATAGAGCACTGGCTGAGCTCCCTTGCTATACAGAAGCTTCACACTAGCTAGCTACTTTATATTCATAAGTGTATGTCTCAATGCTACTCTCAATTCATCCCACCCTGCCCTACCCCTGCTGTGTCCAAAAGTCCATTTTCTATGTCTGCTTCTCCATTCCTGCCCTGCAAATAGATTCATCAATACTGTTTTTCTAGATTCCATATGTATCAGTTCAGTCACTTAGTCAGTCATGTCCGACTCTTTGCAACCCCATGGACTGTACCAGGCCAGGCCTCCCTGTCCATCAGTAACTTCCGGAGCTTACTCAGACTCATGTCCATCATGCCATTCAACCATCTCATCCTCTGTCGTCCCCTTCTCCTCCTACCTTCAATCTTTCCCAGCAACAGGGTCTTTTCCAAAGAGTCTGTTCTTTGCATCAGGTGGCCAAAGTGTTAGAGGTTCAGCTTCAGCTTCAGTCCTTCCAATGAATATTCAGGACTGATTTCCTGTAGGATGGACTGGTTTGATCTCCTTGCAGTCCAAGGGACTCTCAAGAGTCTCCTCCAACACCACAGTTCAAAAGCATCAATTCTTCGGTGCTCAGCCGTCTTTATGGTCCAACTCTCACATCCATACATGACTACAGGAAAAACCATAGCTTTGACTAGACGAACATTTGTCAGTAAAGTAATGTCTCTGCTTTTTAATATGTTGTCTAGGTTTGTCATAGCTTTTCTTCCAAGGAGCAAGCGACTTTTAATTTCATGGCCTCAGTCACCATCTGCAGTGATTTTGGAGCCCAAGAAAATAAAATCTGTCACTGTTTCCATTGTTTCCCCATCTATTTGCCATGAAGTGATGGAACTGGATTCCATGATCTTCGTTTTTTGATTGTGGAGTTTTAAACCAGCTTTTTCATTCTTCTCTTTCACGTTCATCAAGAGGCTCTTTAGTTTCTCTTCTCATTCTGCCATAAGGGGTGGTGTTATCTGCATATCTGAGGTTATTGATATTTCTCACTGCAGTCTTGATTTCAGCTTGTGTTTCATCCAGCCCAGCATTTCTCATGATGTACCCTACATATAAGTTAAATAAGCAGGGTGACAATATGCAGCCTTGACAACGCACTCCTTTCCCAATTTGGAACCAGTCCATTATTCCATGTCCGGTTCTAACTGTTGCTTCTTGACCAGCATACAGATTTCTCAGGAGGCAGGTAAGATGGTCTGGTATTTCCATTTCTTTAAGAATTTTCCACAGTTTGTTGTGATCCACATAGTCAAAGGCTTTGGCATAGTCAATAAAGCAGAAGTAAATGTTTTTCTGGAACTCCCTTGCTTTTTCAGATTCAACGGATGTTGGCAATTTGATCTCTGCTTCCTCTGCCTTTTCTAAATCCAGCTTGACCTCCATCTGGAAGTCCTTGGTTCATGTACTGTTGAAGCTTCACTTGGAGAATTTTGAGCATTACTTTGCTAGTGTGAGATGAATGCTATTGTGTGGTAGTTTGAACATTCCTTGGCCTTGCCTTTCTTTGGGATTGGAATGAAAACTGACCTTTTCCATTCCTGTGGCCACTGCTGAGTTTTCCCAATTTACTGGCAAATTGAGTGCATCACTTTAACAGCATCAATCCTTTAGGACTTGAAATAGCTTAGCTGGAATTCCATCACCTCCACTAGCTTTGTTCATAGTGATGCTTCCTAAGGCCCACTTGACTTCGGACTCCAGGATGTCTGACTCTAGGTGAGTGATCACACCATCGTGGTTATCTGGGTCGTGAAGATCTTTTTTGTATAGTTCTTCTGAATACTCTTGCCACATTTTCTTAATATCTTCTGCTTCTATTAGGTCCATACCATTTCTGTCCTTTATTGTGCCCACCTTTGCATGAAATATTCCCTTGGTATCTCTAATTTTCTTAAAGAAATCTCTAGTCTTTCCCATGCTATTGTTTTCATCTATCTCTTTACATTGATCACTGAGGAAGGCTTTCTTATCTCTCCTTGCTATTCTGTGGAACTCTGCATTCAAATGGGAATATCTTTCCTTTTCTCCTTTGCCTTTAGCTGCTCTTCTTGTCTCAGCCATTTTAAGGCCTCCTCAGACAAGCATTTTGCCTTTTTTGCATTTCTTTTCCTTGGGGATGGTCTTGATCCCTGCGTCCTGTACAATGTCATGAACCTCCGTCCATAGTTCTTCAGACACTCTGTCAACCAAATCTAATCCCTTGAATCTATTTGTCACTTCCACTGCATAATCATAAAGGATTTGATTTAGATCATACCTGAATGTTCTAGTGTTTTTCCCTACTTTCTTCAATTTAAGTCTGAATTTTGCAATAAGTTCTTGATCTGAGCTACAGTCAGCTCCTGGTCTTGTTTTTGATGACTATGTAGAGCTTCTCCATCTTTGACTGCAAAGAATATAATCAATCTGATTTTGGTGTTGGCCATCTGGTGATGTCCATGTGTAGAATCTTCTCTTGTGTTGTTGGAAGAGGGTGTTTGCTATGACCAGTGTGTTCTCTTGGCAAAACTCTGTTAGCCTTTGCCCTGCTTCATTCTGTACTCTGAGCTCAAACTTGCCTGTTATTCTGTTAATATATGATATTTGTTTATCTCTTTCTGACTTATTTCTGACTTGCTTCACTCTGTTTGACAGACTCTAGGTTTATCCACCTCACTACAAATGACCCAATTTATGATCATGCTATAAGAAATTCCAACAAAATTTCAAATGTTCTAATATTGTGGAGTTCACTGATACTATTTAAGGGTATAGGTAGTGTCCAATGGTAATTGAAAAATCCTTGCTTTTCTTTTTTGTGTATAGTACTATTTAAAAAATAATTTTTTAAAATTTATTTTAGCTGCACTGGATTTTCATTGCTCTGTGCAGGATTTCTCTAGTTGCGGTGAGGTGGGTCTTCCCATTGCAGTAGCTTCTCTTGTTGCAGAGCACAGGCTCTAGGCACACGGGCTTCAGTAGTTGCAGCTCAGAAGTTGTGATGCGCTAGCTTAGTTGCCCCGAGGCATGTGAGAACTTCCTGGACCAGGGATTGAACCTGTGTCCTCTGCATTGATAAACAGATTCTTAAACTGTACCACCAAGGAAG